GGGTGGGCTGAGGTTGGACCTGGGGATCTGAGAGGTCTTCTCCAACCTCAGTGATTCTGTGATTCTATGTTTCTTCATCCCAAAAAAGATTGGTGACTGATACCATTACCAGTTTGTGCAAAATCAGAGAACCCCTCTGCCCAAAAATAGGGAAAGTATTTCATTGGTTTTCATTTAATGCTTTGGTTTGAATATTGAGCTAAAAAATATATAAGATGAGGATAAAACCATGGATAAGCAGCCTCTCATTTGATCAGATGGGTGCACACAGCCCTTTCCTGTCCTCCACAGCTGGAAGCTGAGCAGTCACAGCAGGCAGGGAACACACAGCCTGTATTCAGTGTGGGCACCCCTCCTGAAAGGTGTTCCCTGCAGCAAACAGGAAAATAATCCGAGGCTTAATCAATGTCAAAGTGTCAACCCTCCTCCTGGGAGTTACCTGAAGTTGCAATTAAACCTGCCTTTTCTTGTCTTTGGTGCAGTTGTGCGCAGAGTGATGTTTTCAAAATCAAGTCATCCATTCAAAAAAAAAAAAAAAAAAAAAAGGAGGATTTACATGCAATCTATTAGAGGTTTGGCACACACCGAGACTTCAGAAAGTTCAATGTGGTACTAAATGTCTGTTTTCTTTAAGGTGATGGCTCTGCTTAGGGTCAGGCTCAGTAAATTAGCATGTAGCATCAATCTGTTTTTCCAGGCCATCACTTGCACTGTAAGCAGGCATTTTATTGTGTTCCTTCCTCATGCTCAGAGTTTTTATGACTGTTTTGAGAGTTCTAATTTTGCACGAAGGAGGTAGGAGGTCCTGGCTGTCTGTGGCCAAGTGGAGGCAGAAGTTGTTGTTCACTGCATGGAAAATGTGGTTCTCCCAAGATTAAATGGGGCGTATAGAATGCACTGGGGATAGGTGGTGGTGGCTCTGTCTTCTGCTTCCAAGGATGGGAGGAAGGCAGCTGGGGTCCTCACCACCCTATATCTGACACAGGTCTGCTGTTTTGGGTAAGGAATTATGTTCTGGGAGGTGTGTGAGGCATGCACAGAGCAGGCTGGCACTAGGGCATTAGTATATCCATTGGTGGATGTGTGTGGCTGTATAGCAGTCAGTGTGTTGAGGGAGCCAGGAGCTGACCTGGCCCTGAAATGCAGCAGCAGGAAGAACTCTCTAAGCAAACAGTGTTTATGTTTTGTCAATTATTCCCTAAAAGGAAAAGGAAGCTCAACACTTCGTGCTGTTGGATGAGCATGTTTGAAACAGCATGGTGATGAATACTCTCCACCCTGAAACACTGCCCGGGTTTGTTTTATTGCCAGCAGGAGAGGCAGTATTGCTGCCAGAACATAGTGTCTGCACTGTGCCCTGGCCTTGGGCTGGTGATGCTCAGCCCTCACTTCTGGCCATGGAAGGGACACAGGGGCATGAGCTGCATGGATGGAGCCTCCAAGGAGACATTAGCAATCCTTGTAAAATAATTTTTGCTTTTCCAGAGCCAGGGAGTTCCACTCTACATTCATCTGTGATGATTTTGAACATCAGAGATTCTCTTCAGCAAGTTTTATAGACTCTCCGGTTCATTTTTATGAGGTTTATTAATGCTGCAAGCCAAATGCAGTTGCATTGCAGGTCATTGCACAGGGAAGAGATTTCCCCTGACATCCATAATCACTGATGTGGGAGCTGCCCTGTGGCAAGCTATGGGGCATGGCACCAGCACCAACACAGCTGGTGTCTGGGCGAGGTCCAGGCTTTGGGATCTGTTGCTCTGCAGATTATGCCTCCCAGCTTTGCAAAGTTGAAATAGCTCTGGTAACTGTAGTAGGCGTGGCGAGGAGACGGTGTGTGACGGGGTCAGGTTCCCTATGCTCAGGGCTTGCCAGGTGCTGTCCCACGATAGGACAGCGTGAATGCAAGGGGTGTAGACAAAGCGGGACGAGAATATTTAAGTGCCTGCTACATTTTAATAAACGCCATTTTGCTTCACCTATACTTGGGGTCTGTGTGAGCATTTGGCCCCGACCTGGTATGGGGTCGGTTTCGCTGGCAAAGCAGCATCTTATGGGGTGGAAAACGAATGTTGCAGAGAGAGCGGCAACAGGTAACACACATGTCCTACTTACTGTTGAGGAATGTCTGCTGACCCAAGCTGAACTCAGCATCTCCCAGCCTGGCAGAAAGGATGCAGCAAGCAGCTTTGCTCACAGAACCCAACCTGGGCTGTGCGGTAGCTCGATGGCTGAGTAGCACTTTGAATCATAGAGTCATAAGGGCTGGAAAAGACCTCTCAGATCCCCAGGTCCAACACCAATCCATCCCACCATGCCCACTGCCCATGTCCCTCAGTGCCACGTCCCCATGGCTCTGAGACACCTCCAGGGACAGTGATTCCCCCACCTCCCCGGGCAGCTGTGCCACTGCATCACCGCTCTTCTGGAAAGAGCACTGTTCATAATGTCCAACATGAACCTCCTCTGAACACGACACCACCACCTCTCACCCTATCGCTGTCACCTGGGAGCAGAGGCTGACATCCCCTCCTCACAGCCTCCTGTCAGGGCTGCAGAGCCATGAGCTCTCCCCTGATCTCCTCCACACTGATCCGTCCCCTCAGCCACTCCCATAGGACTGTGCTCCAGTCCCTTCACATTTTTGTTGCTTTTCTTTGGACACACTCCAGGTCTTCCACGTCTTTCCTGTAGTGTGGAGGTGACCATCTCCAGAGAGCCAACAGTAACACCCACAGCAGTTTGCCCATGGTCAACCTCTAAGCCATCACAAGGCATCTGGGTATATATTTTCCTTTTCTGAGGTGTGGAGACTGCCAAGTGCTGTTCCTGCTGGGACTGGAGGTGCACTGTCAGATGTGGCACTGCTTCTCAACTGTGCATGTTGTTGTTTAGTCTCTTCTAAATGAGGATCAGATTTGCAAGTGGTTAACACTAGAGGATAATTTTTTTCCGTGCTTGTTTGAAGCTTTGCAGAAACCCAAAGCTGTGAATTGGAGGTGGAAATGAAAGCAGCCCATTATTTCAGAAAATCTCAGTTTCTGATGCTACTGAACAACCAAACCGTGCAGCTGCAAACACAAACCCTTTCATCTGCCCCAGCAAAGGGAGTTTTGTCTGCAGCAGAAGCGACTCAGGTGTTGAGTGATGTTTGAGCAGCCCATCCGGCAGCTATTTGCATGAGAAATGCCTTGTGAAGACGATATTTTGATGTATTTACAACTTCTGAACTCCCATTATGTTTCTGGTTGTGCTTCCTGAGAAGGAAAACTATTTCCTTGTTGCCAATTGATTTATCTGTTCGAATTATCACAGTATGTTTTTGAGTGACAGTGAGCCATAAAGAGTGAGCAATAAACATCCCCTTTGATGACCAAACGAGTTCTCCGAGTTCTCCGTGGCTTGGGTTGCTCAGCAGAGAGGCTGGAGGTTGTGAGCTGAGCTCTCACATTTGGCTCCTAATTTGGTCCCTAACCCAGGGACACAAAGGCTTTTCCAGGTACAGCTTTGCTTTTATGGGCAGACATCCCTGTAAGCTTGGTGGTGCAAGGCCATTCTGCCCCCTGGTGCAGCCTCACCAATGGGAAAACAGAGAGAAATGCCTGAAATCAAAAAGACTTAGATTTTCCTGATTTTCTGTTTCAGTTGAAGAAAACTGTTTTGCAAAGGATCTAGATAGAGGTGGCCTCCAGTATAGGGACAAAGCCTGTGTCTGACCTCCACCTGGACACAGAGCTGTTGGCAGCAGCCCTTGGCTGCAACCCCCCAACCAATTCCTTATCCACTGAATAACCCAGCGTTCAAACCCATCACTCTCCAATTTAGAGATAAGGATGCTGCGTGGAGCCATGTCACATGTCTTGCAGAAGTCCAGATAGCCCCGTTCATAACTGAGGCAGTGACCTACAGGAGCACCTTGTAAACCATTCTGGAGCTGTGCATCTGTGCAGGGCTGGTGCTGGTGATAAATCCTAACAGTGACCTGGCAAGGATGCAGCAGCTGTGATATGGTTTGCTCCTGCAGGATGGGAACATCCTGGGAAACTCCATGAGCCATCCTTGTGTATGATTTGATTTCTCCTTCAACTGAGCGTATTTTTTTTTTAGTCTGAATATGACTTCAATAATTTCTTTAATTAGGCTTCTTCTTAATGCAAGATTGCTTAAAATTAAAAGCAGCTTCTCAACCAACTTAAAATTCAAACACAGTTAAGTTAAATAATATGATAGCAGGAGGCAAGGAAGTAAATGATCATTTTTGGAAGCAAAAGATAATTACTGCAATGCAAAACCCCAGGGATAGAATGATGGGTTTTTCTCAGTAATGTACTCCAGTTTGGGATGCGCTATTTGTTTGTTAGAGGAGAACTTGAGCCCATGGAGGGTGGGAAGAGCCCGGGCACATTGCTTCAGGAGGATCTGGGGAGGCTGCTGCCATCAAGAGTGGGATGTAGAGCATCTCTTTCCATAACCCTCTTATGTTAACAGATCAGAGCAGGGCTGAGTTAAGGAGCTGACTTCCCAGAACATTAATGGATTGATAAAATACAATTCTATTATGAGATCGTTCCAGGCACCTCTCCAGCTTGAACTGTGTACATAATTGTGAGGGGATCAGAGGTGCGAAGAGCTTGCTGCTAATCCTTATTTCCCAGGGTTGTCTGCCGGGATGTCATTAGGTAAACCAAATGTTCAGATGTTAAGAAACTGCATAATTTCATTTGGAGGAGGAGCTGGATGGGTGCCGGGCAGAGCCAGGAGAGCTGATCATTTAGAAAAATAAAATTAGAAAACTTTAATTTGAAGCAAATGGGACCACAGGAGGAGTTCTGCTACTAATGGCTTTGGTTACAGCAGGCAGTTCCTGCGGCCAGGATACACTGATTTCTGTGCTCACCCTAAGAGAAACCTGAGCGTATCTCTTGCCTCCTGTACATTCAATTCTTTTTTCTCTCTCTTTTTTTCCTTCTCCCTTCCCTGGCTGTCCTCCCCTCTTCCAGCAATGTGGACACGAAGGAGCTGTGTGGTGAGTATAGCCCTACACACAACGCTTTGGAAGGTTGCATGAGAACTCTTAAAAGCCAACATCAGCTCCTGCCATAGAATCATTGAGATTGGAAAGATCATGTAGTCCAGCCATCGACCCATCACTGCCATACCACTGCGCATCATTCAGTGTGCCATCTACCCTCTTCCTGACCATCTCCAGGGATGCTGATTCCACCATATCCCTGGACAGCCTGTGCCAATTCCCTCTTAGACAGGAGGAAAAACAAGAGTGTAGTGTATAATAGCTGTAATGTGTTTATCTTTGGGCAAAACTCTGTGTCTCATAGCAGGCTGACCAAATTGCTTCTTGGTGCACATCCCTTGAATCACAAATTCAAGACTAAAAAGAACCCCATAGTCATGTTTGTCCCATACCTCTGCAGGAAAGGAAGCTGCCAGGAAAGGAGGGAGATGAACCATTAGGTCCTGTGGGAAGCAGGGGGAAGGTTCAAGGTCCAGCCTATATGCATTATCTGCTGCATACCTACCACTGCCCAGCACTTCTGGTGTACTTGATGCTCTTCCAAGAATTATTTTAAGTATAAGGCCTCAGTGTGGCAACAGTGGAAGCTGCAGTGTCTCTCAGGGTGACAGGTTGGGCAGCTTGTGGAGCTCCCTGACCCGAGAGGGCTTCCAGTGACAGGGCAGCTTGCATAGCTGAGCGCACCTTGAACTCAAAGGGAGATTCACCCAATTGCATATGCACCTCCAATTTAAATAAAATACACTGCCATTGCAACAGCAAACAGACCAGCAACACAAGCCATGCTCTGGGAGTGGAGATGTACATCATCCCATGGTGGGCAGTGCACACTCCAACAGCATCCCATTGTCTCCCACAGATGAGCAGTGCAGTGCAGGGCAGAAGGAGCTGCCCCTGGGTGTTCTGTGAGTGAATAAAACTAAGTCTGTAGAAGTGCACAGCTGGAAGCTGCAAAAGTCAACACTACTCTCCTTCCACATCGTTAGTGCTCTCAAGAGCCGTGCTCTGCCCACAAAAGCTCATCTGTCCTGAAAAGTACCTTTTTATTTCAGAATTTATAAGAAGAGTTTTCCTCTGCCTTTAAAAACATACACTTTTTTTTTAATTTTTCCCCAACTAAACTAATAATAAGAGGAACAAGAAAAAAAAGCATGCTGCAGTGAGAACATGCTGCTTGGCTCAGAGCGGAGCAGCAAACAGCTGCTGTCAATTACGTTGTGACATTCCTGTCTCTGCCAAAATCTTCTTCCCCTTGGATGTCTCGAGGGCTGTAAACAGCTATAGGCACTGCTAATTAAGCCAAGAGAACCTAATTAGTGGGATCGCTTCCTGGCATGTATTTCTTGTTGCATTCAGTAGAGGTGTCACCGCGGTGTGAATCCTCAACCTGAGTGCTGGGGAGCAGCGCTGGTGGTGCCAAGCTGTCAGCTGCCACGTGTGTCAGTTGTACCCAAAGGGTTCATTCGGTGCCTGTGCTGCCCCACACTGTGGTTACTGCAGACATTGGCCTTAGGGTTTCTGTAGCTCACAGATGAAACCACACTGCAGTCAGTGGTGGCGGAGCCCTCGGCTGTGTGGGGACACACTGTGGCACTGTGATGTGGGGCTGTGAAGGGGATGGGAATGCAGGGGGAGGATGTCTGGCCAAGTCCTCACTGGGACAAATCTGTTTGTCACTTGGATGCTTTGGCTGTCAAGGGAATTTCTCTTGAGATCTCCCTCTCTCTCTTGGAAACAAGAGGAAGTGTTCAAATGCAGAAGTGGGGAAAGAAAGAAAGCGTCATTTTTGATGGCAGCTGCTCTGTTTTACCATAATCCAAGCTTCACGCAAACCCTTCTCATCCCTTCAGGGCAAGTTGTGTCTTAGGATCAGGGCCTGGGGAGTGCGAACACACCTGGAATCACCCCCTGATTTTCCTTTCCTCCAGTAAATAGATATTATTGTGTTGTGTGGCCTCGGATTTAAGGTACATCCACTCTTCCCATCACGTCCTTTTTCCCCAGACTATTTTGCCGATCACATGGGAGACTACGAAGACGTCCTGGCCTCATTGGAGACTCTGAACCTCTCCATCCTGAAGGCAATGGATTACACCAAGCGCGTGAGTGCCCGGCTCTGCCCTGCTCCTTGGCAGGGCAGCGTTCACATATAGCCATGCACCAACAACCTGGGTTGGCAGCACTGTGTGTTTGAAGGAGTGGAGGTTAAAAAAAAAGGACTGCTTATACGTTCCAGCACAAAATCAGAGATATCATGATGCACTTTGGATGTGTTTTGTACACTCCAAAGACCATGTCTTCTTCATAAAAATTGCAGTTTCCCATTTAGAGTAAAGAGCATGATTTCCTTGCTCTATTGTAATCCATCTCTTTGGATGTTTGTGAGGAGGGTCACATGGGAAGGGCAGATCCACTCATTAGTATCTTTCTATAATAGTGTCTTTCTATAATAAAAGGAAGGCAAACACTTTTGACCAGACTCTGATCTGATTGAAATGTTTGTGAATTTTTACCAGACACTGGTAAGAGAGGAAGAAAAAAAAAAAAAAAACCAGAAACTGCAGTAGTTCATTTTTTTTCCTAATTAAGTTGCTAGCTCTACTCACGCTTCATTTATATTCATTATTAGTAAATTTTCTGGCAGTCAGATCTGCCAACAATGTTTCGAATACATGTTACCATGCTAATAGAAATCTCAGAAATGCACTCCAACTTTATGTTGGTATTGCCTTCCACCGCTGCTTCTGAATGAGAGTTTAATACATATGACTAATACTTTCCTGCACATCATGCCCTGCTTGTAAATTAGAAATATTAGCATCAGGGTACCAACTTGCACAAGAGTTCTGTTGTTCATAGTCCCAACTCACTGCCTTCATCAGACCACTGTTCTCCCCCTTGATTCAGTGACCTGGGGCGGGATTCACCTGCCCTAATTGCAAAGTCTGAAGGTTATCTGCCTAACCCTGAGATGTCACACTCCGAGAGATCAGTGGGAAGGGGCTGTGGGATGCAGAGCACCATGCACATGGGCTCTGACCCACCGGAGGCCGCGAGGCCCCTTGGGGGCAGGGGGGCAAATGGACAGATGTCTACAATCAGGCGGGAGGAGGGCAGCCCCAGCACTTCACTGTTACCTGTTGTCAACCAAGCAGTGCTGCTCCTCACTGTTTTCGGAAGGCAAGCAAGGAGCTGGCAAATTAGGATTTCATGAAAAACATCAGCCCCTGCAGTGATTTTGTGAACAAAGTGATACAAACCCGATCAATGAATTATTCAAAAAACAGGCACTTTGTACAAGGAAGGAGCTGGGGGAAAAAAATAAAGACAGAAAGATGGAAAATAAGCTGGTTTAGGTGGGAGAGAAACTCATCTTCAGTACTTAGATAGCAGAGGCATCCTGACAACTTTAATTACATGCAGCAATGCCTTAATTCTGGACATGTTTTCACAGAAACGTTCAGGATTGCAGAGACTTCGTGACATTCACCCTGTACAACCCTTTGGCTGCAGGTTTGTTAGAGCCGCACAGACTGACAGCACACAGCAGTGCACTGCAGCGCACCCAGGGAGGTGTTGGTGCCCAATGGGAGCAGTTGGAAATGTTCCTAATTCTCTCCCTCTCTCCCCTGTTCTTAACAGTACTCTGCAAAAATACACAAAGCCTGACTTCCTTATTGCCACATTCCTGATGAGAGGTGCCTTGTGCTCTCAGAGGGGCCAATAACCGTGGCATTTAATTGCTGTTTGTATTTCTCACCTTAAAAGACAAGTGATTATTTCTTGTTCATAAGAAGAGAAAGCAGCAATTATCTTGTGCTGGAGGAGCTCATAAAGTATCAGCAGTAATTAGATTCGGCGGTGGAAAGTCTCATACAGCAAAACAAGATCTGTTATTGTAATTATCTTCCAATACGGAGATGACCACGCTGCGTTCAGTGACTGCCAATGACTGTGCAGAATGCAAAGTTAAATTGGAAAGAATGGAAATGAACTTCTGAGATCTAAAAAAAGCCAACAACAGGATATGTTCTCATACAACCCTCAGAGGACGCTTCATGGCATGGTGGGCAAATACCAGAGCCCAAGTGGCCTTGCATGTGGCAGGGATCCATGATCCATGAGATTCACGATCCTTGTGTTCCCTTCCAACCCTGGCCATTCTGTTATTCTGTGCTGGTCACTGGAAAGCCCAAGCGTTGGTATGTTACACACCTCTCTTGCACCCAAACCACCTTTCCTACAAGAACCCTAGTTCAGATAAGAGAACTTGGAGATCATAAAGGTCTGCTTTCTCTAAGTGGGCAACAGCTGATCCATCAGCAACTTATTGAAACACAGATAGACTGGCCAACAGAAATTAGCTATGTCATGTTAATTTATGCAAATACAATGCATTCCAGTGCCCAATTGCTGTCATGTATCCTTTCCATTGTTGAGGAAATGACTGTGTGCCTGATTTCCCTGGGGTCTGTGAGCAGGATGCTCTGCTGCAGCTCTCACCCAGCACAGGAGTTCAGCAGAGCATCTGATTTCACTCCCCCAACACCCACCTCCAAAGCCAGCTGGTTCGGAGCCCAATTATGCCTCCTCATGCCTTGCAATTAACATCTAGAAAAAAACAGCACTAGGCACAGTTGTGGCTTACCCATCACCTTCTCCAGCAGCAGTGCCTGCAGAGGAGCAGGCAACACCATGCACCGTCTGCTGCTGTACTCAGTGCTAAAAAGGAGGGACGTGGCATTTGTTTTGTTTCATTGCACAGTCCAGAGCAGCAATATATAGTGCTCTTGAATGAACTCTTACATGCCAAAATTAAATTTACCAGATATGATGTTTCTTTTTTCAGTGACGACATCTCAAGGTTAAACAATCAATAGAAGTATCCCTTAAAACGATCCTTTCCCTCCCATTCTCCTTTCAGAAGAGGCTTTCACCTAATATAGTTTCTCATACTCTGCTGTATGTTAACTAAAACCTGCTTTCCCTTTCTGTGTAAGACGTGGGCTGACAGTGACACCTGGGAAATGGGTTGGTGAGAGCCAATGACCTGTAATCTGAATGAAATATTTTTGTTCAGAAATGCTGAATGATTTCAATATTGAATTGTATAGCAAGACAACTAAATGATGTGGATTTCTGTAAAAGTTGTGCAGCTGTATTTTCCAGGAATAATCTAAGAGGAAACAAGGCATTCATTCAGCCTCCCAGAAAGTATTTCCAAAGGGAATTTCCGAACAGATTTCAACAGAAATCCTAGCAGAAGGGGGTATTTCACTTCTGCAGGAACTGAATCTTCCCAAGCTTTCCTGCTTGGGCTCCAGAGCAGAAAGCAGTTTTCCATGCAATGCCATCCAGAGCACTCTCCTTGCCAGACTGTGGGGCCACGTGCCACTTCCAGCCAGGCTGCCAAGCTCAGCAGGGAGAATGCAGCTTGAGAAGGGCTCTCCTGGAGCTTGTTTTTAAACTAATATGTTTCTTCACTGCTCCTCTGCCTCTCTGTGACTGCAAAATTCATGTTACCCTTCTTACTGCAAGAGACAAGAGCATCTTCTCTGGAGATCCTGCTGACTGTGCCCCTGTAGACTTCCTGTAGGGTAGGGTCTTCCCTCAGCAAGTTTGCAGATTACTCCAAGCTGAGTGATGTATTTGACTTGTAGAAGGAAGAGATGCCATCCAGAGGGAACTGTACCGGCTCAGAAGTGGGTGCATGAGAGCCTAATGAGGTTCAACAAGGTATTGCACTTGGGTCAGGGCAATCCCAGATATGAGTACAGACTGGGAGAAGAACCCTGCTGAGAAGGATGTGGGCATCCTGGAAGATGAAAAGCTGGACATGAGCCAGCAGTGTGTGCTTGCAGCCCAGAAAGCCAACAGCATCTGGGGCTGCATCAACAGAGGGGTGGCAGCAGGACGAGCAGGGGATTGTCCCCCTTTACTCTGCCCTTGAATGGCTCCATCTGGAGTGCTGTGTCCAGGCCTGGGACCTCCAGTACAGGAGGGACAGAGCTGTTGGAGTGGAGGAGGACGTGATGACGGTCAGAGATGACTTCATCTCTCCTATGAAGAAAGGTTGAGAGAGGTGGGCTTGTTCAGTCTGGAGTAGAGAAGGCTCTGGGAAGACTTCATTGTGATCTTTCAGTACTTGAAGTGAGCAGGGGGAAAACCATCATTTTACTGGGGTGTTCGGTGATAGGACAAGGGGAAATTACTTTAAATTAAAACAGGGGAAATCTAGGTTTTAATAAAGAATTATTTGTTCAGAGGGCAGTGAGACCCTGGCACAGCTGCCCAGGGAGCCTTGGGTGCCCCATCTCTGGAGGTGCTCAGGGCCAGGCTGGATGGGGTCCCGGGCAGACTGATCTGGGGAGGCAGCCAGCCCACAGGGTTTGAACTAGAAAATCTTTAAGGTCACCTCCAAACCAAAGCCGTTTTATGATTCTATGATTCCCCTTCCCTTCCCTCCTACCTGAAGGCTATTGCTTGTGAAGTCAGATAAGTTGTGTGATCAGAGGGCAACTACATGGACGAGGTGTAAAAAGGCCATTCTGTGGCATCCTATGTATCAAGATGTGTATGCTGTATATGGGAAGTTCCTCTAATAACAAGGAGAAAGACACTGCAGTAAAGTGCTCAGGAAAGGCACTGCAGGAAGTGACAGGAGGTGTCAAGAGGAGTGACACTGAGCTGTACTCATTGGGTCCTGCCTTCCCCTGGGGACAGCCCTCTGCCCCCAGCCCCGGCCTCAAAACAGAGCTGGAGAGGGGAACCTATGCAGTCTGAGAGAGGTCTTCAACAGCAGAGTGTTATGGGATTTATAAGGGAGGAATTTATAATCGTTATTTTTTAAATCTATGCAGTGCCATAGTTCCTTTTATCTGAACAGTTGTCTCATTTGTTTTCCCCCTGTTTCAGGAAGGCTGAGGGTCTTTCATATGGTAATGTTCTCATTTATCAAATATTTCAGTGTCTGTTCTCCTCAGGTTTCTGCTACTGATTACGTGCCAGGCAATCAGCTCTCAGCCTCCACTTCTGAAGGGAGTTAAGAGCGCGGAGTGGGGAAGGAGCAAGAGGAAGGTCTGGGTGTTATTCTAATTACAAGACAAAATCTCTTGGAAGAAAGCAGGCAATTATGAGTGTGGAATTAGAATTGCTGTTCTGAGGCAGCATTGCTCTACATGCCTGATTTGTGAAGTGTTGGGTGGTGGGAGATAAGCCTGCAACAACCCAGGGGGAGGTTGGGTAGAGCTGCTTCATGGCCATGCCAATAGGTTTTCCTATAGGTTGGTTTGGATTTTTTTTTTTTTAAGAAACAATTAAAGGAATAGGACTGTGGTTTTGCTTGAGCAGCCTCATTGGCTCACAGCCTTGGCCCTATTGGTGTGCTTCAGCTGGGGTCAGTGTTCTTAGCAACTGGAGAGGCTGCCAGGTCTCTGAGCTCAGCAAATGTCACCCAGTTTGGCCACTGTCACCCAGAGGCAGTGCTGGAAATGCTGGGGCTCAGTGCTGAGGCTCTGCAAGGCAAAGAGCTGCAACGGGGCTCTCAGCGCCCGTGAGCATCATTTATATTTCACATCCTGGAGTCTTAACGAGATGAATGGTGACCTTTAGAAATGCCAGCAGAGAGGCATTTTAGATGCTCAACAACATCAACAATCTCCTTTTTCAGCCATTTGATATCCGCAGGAATATGGTTACTGTAGCCCTATTTTGGGGACCTATTTTGACACCCAGCAAGGGAGGTTTGTCTCCAGTGTCAGCAAGTCCAAGAGCTCATGGCACCAAAATTACAGCCTGGGTTTCCACAGGCAGATGGTGGCAAGGTGCTTTATTTCATCTGTGCCAGAATTTCAAGCTGCAGAGAAAATGTATTCTTATGGTGAGTCTCAGGAGAAACTGAAGCCCAGCACAGCGTAAAGCAAGGTTCAGCATCTCCTGTCAGACTTCTGCCTCTGCAATTCACTTCTCTAATGCAAACATGGATCTGCTGCTAATTAGCACCATCAGACCAGGCTTGCTAGCACAATGCTGTGCAGCAGGACAGCATCTCTGGTACCAAAGCCTTTCTAGTGTTGAACTAATGAACCAGTTGGATGAAAAAGAGAAGACTTCTGAGATACACCCCTCCAGGATCTTCTGTCACAAAGCAGCAATTATTTTATTATCCCCATAAATATTTTAACTTTCTGGGCAAAAGAAGAAGGAAATATCTCTTCGGGGTGGAATTAATAAGACCAAATCTCATTACATCTCCCTACGACAGGCTAACGAATGTTTTAATAAGACCATGGGAAGGATTCCTCTGGAGTTGGCCATCTTAATGACTTGTTTCTACAATGCCAAAGGGGACATTTGCTCCAGCAGAGCTGGAGGGATTGCCGAGGAGCTCAGAGCACACTCCTGAGTGCAAATGTCACAGCTGGGCTGGCAGATGGCCACAGTTATTCGTTAAATGAAGGGAAAAGAGAAAAAAATCATTGATTTTCATTTCAGACCCACGTGGAACTCCTGCTCATATCTGTAGTGGCCTCAAAAGCACTGAGGTGTTAATGGAGGTAAAGAACTGTTTTTTGGGAGGAAACAAGGGTGGCCTTGAGGAACAACCTGGATTCATCCTTGTGAGGGAGCACTCCCTGGGATGTTCTGAGCCCCTTGGCCCATTCCTTGCACCCAGAGCTCTATAGCTGCTCAGGTTTTGAAAAGCACAGTTCAAGAAAATCATCCTGAAATCACCTTTAACACACTGGGATTTAAAAGCTCTGCAATCAGCTGTTTACCTCAGCAGCAAGCAGCTGCTTTTTAAGCTCCCTCATTTCTAACCTGATGGCTTACCTGTACCCACAAAGACACAGTGCTGCCAGTTCTTCCCCTGGAGACAGCAGAATCACAGGGCTGTGGGCTTTCACTGACCACCATATCAAACCAGTGACTGCAGGAGAGGGCAGAGACAAGCTTCTCAGGATGAACACTTCTACAGGTGAAACCTGTGGAAACACCACAGGGAGATTTGTGGCTCATTAAGAACTGAACATTACTTTTATACTTCGTTAGGCAATCTGGTGTCCCAGGGCAGGGAACACCAACACAAAGCACATGTATAGTCCACACCTTTTTAAAACCTTTTGTTTTCCAAAAGGAGTGGGCTCGTGTGCCTGATTTGATGAGAAATTGTGTGGTGGTGCTGGTAGGATGCAAGCAATAGAGTCCTGGAGGGCAGCAGGGAACTGGGGGCAAATTGCAGCACAGCTCCTGGTTTATTTGATCAATTCGTTTCCAGCCTCATAACAGAGACTGTGCACAGCTCAGCCTTTGCCCCAGCACCTGCAATCAGAGCAGGGCTGGTTGCTGGGGCTTAATCAAAACTCATCTGTAATTATAGCCAAGCCTGCTCAAGTGCCTGATTAATGTATTTATGCCTTGGTTTCGCACAGGCTCCCATGTGTGAGGCCCCAGGGAGGAATCAGCGGTGAGGGGGAAATGCTGAAGAAATGGGTTCAGATCCCAAATGCAATTATGTGTTTTTGCCGATGAGATTTGTCAATTTAATCCCCCTCCTTAGCATGAGTGTGATTACTGGGAGATTGTTCAGAAATTCAGGAATATTTGGGAATGCATCTATCCTTTCCCCCACCCGAATGCTTAGCAAATGTTCCCACGCCATGTTCTTGCAGACTGGGGCCTCCCACTGAAAACCATTCAATTCACCCCATTGAAGCCCTCTTTGGGAACACCTGCTCCTTTTCACAGCAGCACAGAAGAACAACTGGGAATCTTCTGGATGTTTTTGCTGGGCTGCTATCGTGAAATGGGCAGCCTGAGCTGACATGGGGTTTTGCCATTGCTTTTCCTGTCCTACCCACTTACACCAGGTGGTCACCATCGGTATGGCCCCAGCACCCCACCCTGCCTTTCTCTTCTACTGACAATTATTTATCAGACACTGTAACATCATGTGATGTGGCCTGCTTGGGCTGATGTTGGCCCAGATAGGCTGGGGTGAGACCAGTTGGACTGGTGTTGGGCTGGTTAGGGTGGTGCTGGGACAGCGTTGGACTGGTTGGGCTGGTGTCAGTCTGGTTGGGTTTGTGTCAGTCTGGTTGAGCTGGCGTTGGTAGAGTTGTGCTGGTGTCGATCTGGTTGTTCTGGTATCAGACCAGTTGTGCCAGTGGCCCGTGGGAGGTGCGAGGAGCACGTGGCAGAGCAGCAGAAGGGCTGTGCTGGTGAACAGACTCCAAGTGCTTTAAGAAAATCAGTTGTACCAGTAAAACATTGTTTATTTCCCCTCTCTAGAGGATTTGGATTACCGCGGGAGCCTCTATCACACAGAAATAAAAAATAATTTGCTCACTTCAAAGCAATTGGGACAGATCTCTTTGAAAACCTCTTTGAGGCTGAACAAGGTGAGATGGAACTCTGTTTGGAGCAGGGCTGAAGTAAGGTTAGTTTCATTACCTCACGTGTTGATCTATCAGTGGTTCCCACCAGACCCAGCTGAGCATCACTGCGTTGTCCCTGCACACAGGTCTATGAAAGCGGCAGCAATGTGGACCAGTTTGTCACCCGCTTCCTGCTGAAGGAGACGGCCAACCAGACCCAGTCACTGCTCAGCTCGGTGGAGAGCGCCGTGGACGCCATTGATGAGCAGACCAACCCCTCCAGGTCAGCCATGGTTCCTCTCCAGCTTCTCAGCTGGTCTCATTTTGAGGGACTTCTACAGGGCTCATGGCCCTGTAAGAGGAACTGGTGGAGCAGCTGCCTTTCCCAGCTTCCCCAGGAGCTCTCGGGGCTTTTCACTGAGCAAAGCCACCCTTGGGACATGGTGGCTGTGTCTGGGACGTGCTGGGACAGCCCACGATGTCTCCATCTCCATCTCCATCTCCATCTCCATCTCCATCTCCATCTCCATCTCAGTCCCATCCCGTTCCCACTCTCACCTCCATCACATCACTATTCATCCCCATCCCTGTTCCCCATCCTCAGGGGAGAGCCTGAGGAAGGTGGAGGAGATTGCTTCAAGATTCATCTTAGCCAGGGCTGAAATACCAAGGGGTACCTGCAGCATTGCCCAAACAGCCCTATTTGGGGGCACTGTGGGATGCTGACCAAGTGGCTCCGACGTATGCAAACTGAGAGGGTCATGGGTGCTGTGGTGCTGCAGTGTCCCCAGATTGTACTGGGAGGACTGCTCTGCGTGTCTCCCCACTCATCTCTCTATTGTGGAAGGTTCCAGCAAAGTGTGATGCAGAGCAGATAGGAATAGCACAGGCTGGCTGAGAGTGCTGAGAAGGAAGTGAGAAACAGTGAGAGCTGCTGAAAGTCTTCACTGTTGTTGTTTTCTGGTGTGTGGACCTCACTCATCATGAAAGGCATTGGAGCTGTTTTCTCACGGTGAAAATCACTGGGGGGGGGGGGGGGGGAAACAAAAAAACTGATCTCTTGCATCAGGGGTGGCCTAAAAAGCGGAGAATCAGAGGGCTGTGAAACATCTGCCCAGCAGTGCCCGGCCCATCCCCAGCACCCACTCCCTTGCAGGCAGTGCCCTGGCCCAGCTGGCCTCGCGCTGACAGAGTCCTGGTATGACAGTCCTGTGCCCAGCTACGCGCCCCCCGGCCGGATCGTGCCCCGGGGCCACGGGAAGAGCAGCCAGAGCGGTGAGTGGACATACCTTCTGCAGCGGCACGTTCCCAGGTGTTGGGTGGATGCCCACAGGCACCTTTTGCTCTGTGTTCCCGCAGGTGCCCCCGAGCCCAGGCAGGACGGGCTGGAGGGGCAGATCGGCAGGCTGGCCGCACTCATTGGCAGGCTGGAGGACAAGGTAGGGACTGCGCTTGCCCGGCATCACCCTGGCCACCTCCACCATTGGCGAGAGTGCTGTGGGCTTTGCTTAAACTCCATGTTCCTATAGATGAAGGAGTTGAAGCCTCTCACAGAGGCAGCGTTACTCCATCTAGGGACAGGCAGAGGGAATACTGCGGTGCTGGAGGTGCTTCCAAAACCCTCGAGGTTTGCCAAACGCTTTCAGGGCAGAAAGGTGTGGGACAGTGACTTCTCTTGGGAGGAATGCAGTGTTGGCAGTTTGGGGCCACTCTAGGGCAGATGGGTTGATGTGGAGCCATGTGCCAGGTCCCTGGCCTATGCCTCACCGAGGTCTCCATTGTGCCACGTGTCCCCAGATATCAGCTCACATCTGGTGCTTCCCATGGGAAGGCTGGGCTTCTCCAAGCTTCCACTGTATCCGGGGCAGGAGGTGACTCCATTCCCCTCTCCGCTTATGGGGCACTGCTGCCCCCAGACCACTGCAACACTCCTCCTGCACCAGGGCTCTCTCAGTGGCTGTCCCCAAGCAGTGGACACCCAGAGGGACACACTGCCCCATCCTCCCTTTCCCCTTTGCAGACTCTCTGGTTTGACCTGCACCAGCGGCTGTCGGACAGCGAGAGCACAGCTTGCACGGTGAGCATGAGGCCGTGCCACCATCATCACCCCACGATGCCCCCACATGATGTCCCTGGGTGGGATGCTGCACACATCGGGTTTCATGTGCTGCTTTGTCTCCCCCCAGTACCTCCTCCTGGTGCGGGATGAGATGACGGTGTCACACAAGCACCTGGGCGAGTTCTGCAGCTCCCTGAAGCAGTACCTGAAGAGCGTGGCCGGGGAGCGGGACTGCTTCCAGTGGGTACTGGGGGGGGCACTGGGGATGGGGTCAGTGGAAGGTTGGGGTGCTGGGAACTGGGGGCACCCTCAGTGGCTGCCAGGACAACAGCTGGGGGTGCCCCCATGGGGAAGGCTGTGGGGCCTGGGGATGCCCACAACAGCTCACCCTCACCCCACTACTGCCAGTGTGACTGCAGTCAAGCTACCCGACGGAGTCACCTTCATCATCTATGAGTTTTGGGAGACCGAGGAGGACTGGAAGAGGTAGAGTGGGATGGGTGGGTAGCTGCCAGCTGAGGGGTTGGAGAAGCTTAGTGGGGTGAGAGCAGGGCTCGGCTGAGCCGATGCCTTGGACATGTGGGGGAGGGTCTGTTGTCCCCTTTCTGGTGGCAGGAGTGGAGGTCCCTATGTGTCTGCAGGGTTTGGGCAGGCTGGATGGACAAGTGGGGTTGGGTGGTCAAGGGATGGGGGGGCATGGGGGAGGGCACAGGGAGCAGAGATTCGGCTTCTTTTCAGCAGAACGTGGGATGATTTGGGGGGGACAGGATGGTGATTCTGGGCTGTAACACACCACAGGCACCTGCAGAGTGCCACCTGCAAGGGCTTCCAGCATGTCAAGGTGGATGCGCTGAGCCAGCCTGAGGCCATCTCCAGCGTGGCTGTGCCAGGTAGGACCTGGGTGGGGGCACAAGCAACCCCTGGGCAGCAGGGAGCACAGTGGGTGGTGGAGCTGGAGGGATGTGTGCTGGGGTGACACTGGGTGACTCCAAGTGATTTCCCCTGCAGCCGCCTGGTGCACCCTGAGCCAAGACTGACCGTGCGGGGATCTGGCTGTGCCCCCCACCCCCTGCCAGGCGCTGTCCCCCCCATTGTGTTGGCCAGAGGGGAGTGTGATTGTCACCTGTCTGCAGCAAAGGAACTCTCCTTGTCCCCCTTCAGCAGCACCTCACCCTCAGCTTCCCCACTCCTGGGGCACCTCTTCCTACATGGGGAGGGCTCTTTGGGGCCTTGGAAGGGGTGGTGATGATGTGGATATGGTGGGAGCAGAGCCCTCGGTATGCAGAAAGTGTGTATTGGGGTCTCTGATGGGTAGACCCAACAGAGGGGAGGGAAGAGGGATGGAGATCTGCAGGGCACATGGGGCCCTAGTGGAGTGGAGGTGGGTGCCTTGCAGGCCCCAGGGTGGCTGCTCCCCCAGCCCCGGGGTCTATAAGTCTGTGTGTGCTTGTCTGTCTGTGTCTGTGCACACTCTGCCCCACCCTGCCCAGCCCCATGGGGGGATGAGAGGGCCTCACAAGGTGTCCCCCCCTCTACCCAAGCATTTATTAATGATAGAACAACAGAATTGATGATACTGAATAAACCATGACGGGAGCCAGCTGCAGTGTGGCTGTGTCTGGGATAGGGTGGTGGGGGACGTGGGAGGACATGGAGCTACACATCCCCTCAATGCAGCAGCCCCATCACAGCCAGGGCAGCGCTCTGCCCGCACACGAAGGTGCCCCCCAGCACAGAGACGACACCCCAGGTGATGAGCACAGCCCTGCGGAGACACGAGGGGGGATGTGGGAAACAGCTCCCGCTTCAGCAGGGATCAGTCTCAGCAGGGTTCCATGCTGCTCCAGCCCCTGTGCAATGACACATAATGCCTGGTCAGAAGCCTGGCTGCCACCCCCTGGGATATCCCCATTGTCCTCACTGCACTGCCACCGGGACAGACTCAGTGGCTGGTGCCACCCTGAGCACCCCAGGTGTGACACTTACCCCCAGGCTGTGTTGCTGCTCCATCATGAGGTCACCAGCAGCGGGTGGGCAAGGAGCACAGAACGGGGTGGGTGGGTGTCATCTCCCCAGACTGTCCCAGGCACAGCAATGGGCACACGGTGCCCAGCAAGTACCCAAGGGCCACCCTTCATTAAGCAGTTAGCCCCTCTGGCCCCCAGCTTCTCCAACCCAAACCCTGGGGCTGTGGGGTCCCAGCTCCATGGGCCCTCCTTCCCTTCCAGTCACCCCTGCAGGCACATCCCTGGCACACGGGACATCCCCTGATAACCTGGGCACATCCCTGAAACCACAACACATCCTTGATGTATGGACACATCCCTGATTAGAGGACACCTTCCCAGTGTATGAGCACAGCTCTGGCACCTGGATACATCCCCGATACCTGAGCACATCTCTACTGTGTGTGCACCTCTCCAAGTCGTGGGCATATCCCTGGTACACCGGCAACCCTGACACCCAGGCACACCCACAATGCCCATGCATATCCTTTATACCTGAGCACACCCCCAGTGCCCTCCCTATACCTGGGCAATGCCCTCACACCAACTCCTCCAACCCACCACAGCCCCCATGTCCCACATTAAGTGCTGCCCCAAATTTCCCTCCCTCCCTCCCCCATGGGATTCCCACCCCATCGCATATATTCCCATGGGGACCCCGAACCCCAACCATCAACCAGGGGATCCTGTGCCCCTGCACTCACTTTTTGGGTGCCCCAATGGCTTGTGTCCCCGTCATGCACACCAGGCACAGCCCTGCCACCAGCACAGGTGCTCAGCTCCAACCTTGTGGGTACAGAGCCCCCAGCAGCAAGACCAAAAGGGCCTTGCAGCATCCCATCCCTCCCCCTCCCTGTGCCTGCCTGGGAAGATGAAGATGAAGAAAGCACTGATGCCACCGATGAGCTCGATGACCTTGCCGATGTCAGGGACAAACAAGGCAATGGTGAGTGTGGCGGCCATCCATGAGATGGTCAACGCCACCCGGCTCTGTCGCTCGTGCCTCTCAGACATAAGTGTAGCCCTGAGCTTGGGGTGTGCCCACAGGTCCTGCACTACTGACCTGAGTGGTGGGGACAGGTTAGGGAGCGGGGGGATGTGGGAGGGACCGAGGAGGTAGGGATGGCTCAGCAATACCCACTCACCGTCCCAGCAGAACCACAATGGGGTAGATGGTGACAATGGAGACACCAAAGAGCAGGCGGGCAACGATGACAAGAGGGTCGTTCCCAGGGTAGGACATCAACACGTCGGGGGCCACGTCCTCACCAAAGGTCAGGTAGCCATAGAGCCCTGCGGGCAGGGAGGTGGCCACAGGCCGTCACCAGAGTGGAGATAACAGTGCCCCATGCCACCAGCAGGAGTGGGGCACAGCAGCGGGAAGGAGGGTGGACCTGCAGACCCCCAGGACTGGAAGCGGCGGTGCCGGGGTTACCAGTGAGGGAGTAGATGAGGAGGCAGATGAGCATGGAGAGCACAGAGATGGCCACCCAGTGGGAGAAGCTCTGGTTGCGCATGCTGCTGTAGATGGCCACGCAGGCCTCGTGGCACTGCAAGGGGAGAGCACGGCCACCTCCCCTCCTGCTGCAGCCCACAGTGGTGTTCCAGGGACACCTCCTGCCTGCAGCTCCCCAGAGGGAACCCATCCCAGCAGCACCCTATGTGGGGACATACCTGGAACCCAAAGCAGATGGTGGGGATGACGCTGAACATGGAGGCCCAGGAGGAGGCCCTGCGACACGATGGGGCAGAAGAGCAAAGAATGCCAGGTGCCGGAGGCAGAGGGGACCTCGGGGGCATCAGCCAGCCCTCTGCAGAACCTCCCACCTGCCAGTTTGGGAGGGCTGAGGGCTGCGTGCCACCACCGGGGCGGTCAGGGGGACGGCAGCGCTGCCTTACCTGGGGGGCCGGGCGGCCTGCGGGAGTCCCAGACTCCCACCCTGCAGGTGGTACTTGAGGACGATGACCAGCGTGAGGTAGCAGGCGGCCAGCGTGCCCAGGATGCTGCGGGGACGGGGCGATCGGGGGCGGGCAGGGAACAGGGCCCGGGGGACCCGCGGGCTGCCACCCCAGCGCGGAGGTCTGCGGGCACGGGGCGACGCGGCCGTACCTGGAGTACTTCTGGAAGCCGATCTCCCTGGGCACGGACAGCGGGAAGATGACCAGGGCACAGAGCGCCGGGAGGGTGAAGCGCTGATCCACGAACCACGGGGAGCTGTCGCTCAGCGCGCCGGGCGGGTACAGCGAGTCGCACACTGCGGGGACACAGCTGCACCCAGCGCCGCGGGCAGCGCCTGCCTCCCCTCAGCCCCCGGCAGCTCACGTTTCTCCAGCTGGTCGCCCACCACCCGCAGCAGAGCCACGGCGATCATGAAGAGGTTGAGAAGGAAGCAGAGCTCGCAGAGTCTCCCCGCCGCCGGGCCGCACACCGCCCGCACCACGCCTTGGTAGGTGGGCTGGGCGCTGAGCGCCGCCGCGTAGCCCAGCACCGCCAGCCCGCTCACCAGGAACACCAGCGAGCCCTGCGGGACACAGCGGGAGCACCCGGCCCCTCATGGGGACACGCAGACGGAGTTTGGGTCAGCCCCGGTGCTGACCCATCCTCTTGGCAGGCCTCAGAGAGAAGGGTGAGGCGGGGAAGAAACGGTTCTACGTGGTCCTTTGGGGTTGGATTGAGGTTTTCAGGATATGCAGGGGACCAACGACGAAATCGTGCTTTAGGTTGAGGTACAAATTGACTTTGGTCTAAGAGGTGCAAAGGGTGGCAGCAGTTTCCTTTGTCCTGACATGGGTTCTGCACACCTTGCAGCAGGAAGGGTCCCAGAGCTCCGGTGACAAACATGGTGTGAAAAGCTGAACCTCTGCTCTCAGCCTGATCCCACTTCTGCCACAACCTCAGCTTCCTTTCAGGCACCAGGATCCCAGCAGAGCCAGGAATGCCCAAACAGGCACTGCCAACACTGCAACCTCCCTGTCCTCATCCCCATCCTCCTCCCCCATCCCCATCCCAGAGCCACCCCTTTGGGCAGCCCCCATTCCCTTACCAGCTCCACCAGGATGGCAGGCACGGCACCCCCAGCCTTGCTGAACGCCCAGGGGAAGCTGAGCAGCCCGGCACCCAGCGCAGACTTGAGCATGATGAAGACGGCGCCAGCAGAGGAGAGCCCAGCGCTGCCCGTGTTCCGCAGCCCCAGCAGCGGTCGGCCCTCACCCCCCTCCATCTCCCAACGGCCCGGGAGGGGACTGGGCTGGGACTGGGCCAGAGAAGTGTGTTCCACTCTGTCCCCCTCCAGCCGTCCCTGTGGGGGCGGGAGCGGGGCTCTGACCCCCGCCTCCATGGAGCTGGCAGGGAGGTACCATGGGGGGACTCCCCTGAGACCACCCAAGGGAACGGGCATCGCCCCCAGGCTGGGGACCCAGGGACAAGGGGCCTATCACCTGAAAGGGGTGGACACGCCATGGCTCTGTGCAAAAGCTCCCGCGAGATCGATACATGTCACCAGCTACAGGCTCAAAGCGCAGGGTCCCCAGCACCAGCTGACAGCCCCTAATGCATTTTTGATTTCCCAAGTATGTGGCCTTCTGATCTTGCTAAGATGGATAAAGAGACTTTAATCAGCTGCTAGGAGGAATTATGGATGGCTAATTGTGCCTGCCACCTCCATTACATCTCAGCTGCCTACAGGGCTTAGAACCATTTGAAAGGGTCTTCCAGACCTTCATTAGTTGCACACCAAAGGCTTTGGGAATAATTGGCCTCTATGATCTAGAAATTGGCCACTGGGCTGTAAAATACCAGCCACTGGGAAAGGCTCTTAATTTGGACTGGGGCTTTGATGCAACTTGACTCTGGTCTCAAGGCTGCACAGGGGCTGTAATCTCTCATTAGCGCTGCGATGAGAGGAGTGAGCCTCCTCATTAGTGCCGAAGCAGAGGCACCAAAGCTTTCCAGGCTCCCTCCTCCTGGCAAATCAAAGAGATTCAGCCCACCTCCCACACTAGCACAGCAGCCCTCGTGTGGGGTTTCTGCAGACCTTGGTGCTCCCTAGCTGGCACTTTTTTCCCCCTTCTCCCACTTCCTGTGGCACCCCAGCCCCCAGGCCTTGAGCCACATGCTGGGCTGGCAGCTTCACCCACTGCTGGGCCTCTTCGCAGATGCCCTTCCTCTCTGTCTGCGATGGAAAAAGTACTTTTGTGCAGTTACCTTTGTCTGAGGTCTAACTCTGCCATTAGAGGTACAAAGGTGTGAATAAACCTTGTTTCAGACTGTCAAAATCCCCATCACCCTGGTGCGTATTTGTTTTAAGGACAAAGACACATGGGGAGAGAAGAGAAGGAGTGAAAGGTTTCACTATTCAACAATTTGCTCTCTCTGGCAGGCAGCAGAAAGAAAGCCATGCAGTACTCTGTCTCAGCTTCATAGAGATAACGTATTTATTGAAAATCTGCTTCACCAACAATGGTGAAATCATGACCAAAAATTACAAAACATCATAGTAGTTGGCTTTATAAAAATAAACTGCGGAACTATGTCAAACTGATTTGTACTAGTCTCTCCTGCCCCCTCCCTCCTTTGATGAAGTTACACTCTTCAGCGTTAAACCATTCTAAAAAATTGCATCCTATCCAAAAAATGCACTTGCGTTTCCTTAGCAGAGGTCCTTAAAGTGACTTTGCCCCCCGCCCTCCCCAACAATAAATATAGAAAATAGCCTCTAAACAAATAAATTTTAGTTTGGTCAGCTTACAAAAAAAGGTCCATTTTCTCCCTCATGGGATATGTAGTGACTAAGCAGCCTGTTCAACAGCGTTCGAGTCTTTGGTGGGCATGGCTGCTTAAAGCTGCAGTTTTATGTACAAATGATCAGCTGAGGTCCTTTTTTTCTCTCCAGAAGCCAAAGACTGTGAGATGATGTCAGATGTATATCGCCAGAACGATCACCACATTTGCTGCACCTTTGCTGGGAGTGATCAACTATCCAGGAAAGCAACCAGTAAAAGGAGGTCATCTTTGGCAAGTGAGAGCTTTCACACAGAAGGCGTCTTTGGTGGATGAACCTGTTGCATGAGCTGCGGCCGCTTCACTCGCGGTTTCCGTCTCTTTGGCCTGCTTTTCGCTTTGTTGATCTGCACCACAAAGAACGCCAGAACCACCATGGCACCGAGAAAAGCAAAGACTGGAATGGTCTGTCCTACGTCCTGGTTGTACCGTCCGGGCATTATACCTAGAGAGCCAAAGAGGTTTGTTGCCACACAAGCTACAATCAGATTACATTTTAGACAGGAAGATTAACAACTGCAGGCCGATTAGCAGAAATAAGACAGGATGCTAACTAACTTCACAGAAAAGTACCGGCATTTCCACCTTGACCTACTTGGGAACGTGAAAACGTAACCCAGATTTCCCTTATAACAAGAACCTTCTGTTCCTCGTGCTGTAAGAGAAGTGATTCTGCTGCTGCTCTGGAGATTGCGCTAGCACACGGTGAGGACAAGTTACACAACCCTTCCTTTTTAAAGGCATCATTTAGACTTGCAACTCAGACTGAGAAAAGAACATGTGTGAGGCTTTAAGAGGCTTCCAGCTGGACACACAGCACCAAGCTTGTAAGGAGCCGTTCCAAGTGCTGTTAGTGTAACACCTTCCCCAAAGCACTGTTCCAGTTCTTCTGGACTCTGCTTTTCCATCTGTGTGCTCACACGAGGAATTCTCATCAGCAGGAGTTAACATCACAGCTCCCAAGGACAGGAACTACTGCTGTCTACTACTGGTGCCAAAACAAACCTGGGCTGGCCAAAGAGCACTTATCAGAATCTTCCTCTCTGTATGCCACATACAGCTCCTTTCAAGTGAGCAAAAATATTTCTCTCAGACTTCATCCGTCAGTCTTTTACAACACAACCATACTGACATTTGCATTTTTTTCCACAACTGGAAGGAAATCATGTATTCCCTTGACCTAAAATACTATCTTTCAAATTTTTCAGTACATACCTCCAGGAATGTCCCATGCTCCACTTTCTCCAGGGGACAGTGGTCTCACCTGGGGTCGGTTCTGTCGAAAACTGGGCAGAGCCACTTTATCAAGGTCAATTGACAGTAACTTTTGATGTTTCCAAAGGTTGCTAGAAGAAATGTAAAGACATGTCTGCCTACTTACTTCAGTAATGCAAGGAATTTTGCAGAAACATGCATAGAAAGTGGCAGCTGAAACCTACCAGCTACTCACTAACTTGGACCTGAATGATAATCCCATATGCTCTTTGGATTTTGCAGCTTACAGGCCTCCCAAGTTCCATTCAGATGTCACAGGGATGCAATTAGATCAACACCTATTTATTAGCAACTGTCTTTCTTGCATGCAGACTAGCAGACATTACCACTAGGAGCTCTGCAGACAAGTATGGACTATGTGCTGACGCATTTACCTCCAAGAGATTGACAAATAATACACTGGAAGGCAGAGTTAGGAGAGCTGTCCCAGGAAGTGCTTCAGTAAACTATTTCAAAGGCATGCACTTTGGATTTAAGCAAGCCCTTGAACTTTAAGTTGGAATCACTCAATCATAAAAAGGCATTGACTTGTGAAGCTATTTTTAAAATCTGTTTCACAAAATACAGCGTAACTATCAGGTGAGTCAGAATTATTCACTGAAGTGGCATTAATCACTATTTCCTCTTTACAATCTCGTCTTTCTCTAGGAAAGGAATTCCAGCTGTCCTTTTCAAAAGCGGGTGAAACAAATAATTTTCCAGCTGAACTTGGAAGCCAGACTTCTAATAGAATTTTAAGACAAATGTATACTAACCTGGGAGCAGTTTCATTCAGAGGCTGCGGTTTGGCCCAGGAGAGATGAGGACAAGCAGGAAGGGAACGGGGTTTAGGGTCTCCCAAGTGAGCCTCTAGCACCTTTGAGTATCGATGGAGATGGTTACCTGGGATTCACAGCAGAGACAGACTGCGTCAGAAATACAATTCCCAACATTTGCCTACAGCTAAATGGAGCTGCTGTAAAGTCAGGAGCTATTTACAGTAATGACTCACAGCTAAATCTCAGAGTTAGAACTGTTAATTCTAATTAAGGGTACCTTACAAAACAGTAAGACTGTGCCCCTACAATAAGCCAAGTTTTGCTGGCCAGCATGTGAGACCAGATTTTATGCACACTCTGTAGCCAGTAACTAGAATACCTCCTACCAGAATGGAGGCACTGAAAATAGTTCTATGAGCAGAACATTTTCTTTAGTCAAACCATGATGGTAACACTACAGATCCCTAAAGCTTGAAGGTGCTCTCTTCTAGTAAAACATCAGAGCTCATCCCAAGCTAACCTTCTTGTCAAAGGCCTGTGTGGGTCTTTCTAAATTCCACTCAGACATCCCATCAGTTGCAGGCTCTGTTCATAAATAAGGCTCTCACCTTCCATCCGCTCTGGGAGAGAACAGCCCTCTCCTGACGGCGGTCGCTGTCGGTTTTCAGAATGGCTGAGACTTGGAGGTGTCACACCGTAGGAAGTGTACTGCAGGAGGGAATCCAGGAGCCAAAAGCAATCTGTGGGTTTCATAGACCCAAACCCCAGAACAAAATGTGCATTAAGTTACATTTCAAATGGCTCATCTTACTGTTAAGTAGTGTATCGTAACATTCAGAAGCACAAGTAGTTTCTCATTCTTGTTATTCTCCTTCTGAAGTTTTAAGCCTAATTTCAGCACGATGCAACTGTCAACCACTCCTCCTCCATCAATACAAAGACACAAAAATAATCTATTCACTCTTAAAATACCTTCTTGTCTTGTGTACCAAATCAGGCTTTTTGGTCATAAAATGGCAGGTTTCAAATACAGGAATTCTAGTTTGGGCAAGGCCATCCAACTCCCTGAAAAAATTAAGGGGCCTTCCAGTCTGGAAACATGGGGAGCTGAGAGCTTCTGTTATTATTCATTAACATTTTTATGATGGAAAAAGAGAAGCAACCCTTTAAGAGGATAAAATAAAATCCTGCAAAGAAAATTAAGAACTAGGTAGTGTTTTCAGTGGAAAGCTGTAATTCCTTTGCTTTCTCAAGCTTAATATGAAAAAATAAACTAAAAAAAGAAAAGGAAAAGATTCTGGCTACATCTCAGCTAAAGGAAAAGCGGCTATGGGATAGACCAGTCTGGGAACCAACATCACAATATACTTCATCATAGTTTTCCTTTGCATTTCAATGCCATTTTCTCCTGAAAAACTACTGCCTTCCGTCCAGAGCCAGGCCTGGTGAACAAGCACTCTACCTGGTTAACATCACAGTTGTCTGAAATTTCCATTTCAGAAGTGGAATGACATCTTATCACCTATTTCCACTGACAGCAAACAACTTTTCTTAGATCCTCTCCTACCACGGAATACTTGGCTGGGAACAAGAATTAATCTTCATAATCCCG